AAACGTTTTATCTCCTCCGAAATCTCACGAATATCCAAGGACCACTCTACGCAATGTCCTAATTTACAAGAAGATACAACCCTAAACGAGAAATCTTCGTACCCCTATCGTTTCCATATTTCTACCAACTCGTTTCTTCCATCAGGTTTCACCAAACACGTGTTTGACGCCTGTTCGAATTTACGACTCGCCCCTTGCCTGCCTCCTTTCGGTAAACACAGTCATTTAAAATACCAATCTGAGGGAAGAAAGGATCCAGGAGGCGCAAGCGGTCATCTGGCAAATGAAAGCCTCGGCTTCCAACCCATCAAGGAGTTGATCAGTCAATTTTCTTCTTCTTCTTCTTCCCTCGGCGGAGAACGATCGGTAACGTGTTTCGAACGAGCGGTGTTTTCGTGGTTGAACGATTCTATAGAGAGGAGGATGGCGCGTAGTGTCTCGTGTCGAGGTGGAAAGTCGCTCGCAACATTCCCGTGGCATACACACGCACGAACGACACTGTGCCGGCTGGGTGCCGCGATTAAAAGCGCCTAGTGACTCGCGGAGGCGCGAATGCCTCGAGATACGGGCGGAGATAAGATCGCCGATCGTGGGCGAGAGCAACGACAAGGAGAGGAGGGCGAATGGAAAGCAACGTGTCTTTATTCTCCGCGCGCGCGCGCGTTTGTCCCCATCGGAACGAACGAATTCATTTTTGCAACGACAGAAACATCCCTTCTTCTCGGAACGAGAGAGCACTGCTGCGTGTGCTGCTCTTCGTGTTGCTCTTTCTCTTCTTTCTTTTAACGGGATCGTCGGAACGGTGTTTGAGGGTGTATTTAAGCTGTTGCAGGGAACGTGTAGAAAAATTACTTGTAGTCCAGTGTGTTCAGCGTGGCAGCGAAATTTATTCAACAATCACTGCTGTTGGTCGTTCGATTTTATCTCGGGGTTTATTGTCGTTAATAGGAATTTTTCAGGTTCTGATCTTTTTTAGCGAGTATTTGATGAAAATTCAAGGAAATTTCATAGACACGACATAATGGTCTTACCAAAAAAGAAATTTTTAAAACGTAAGCACCTTTTCATACAACATTTTTCTATTTTTCTTTTTTGGTAAGATGTATAGAATTTCCTTGGATTTTCATTCAAGTATTTTTCGCATTCGGCACTTTATGAGATGACTTGATATAATATTCTCTGAGAAAGATTAGAAGCTGGAAACCTTCAAATTTGATAAAAAAAAAGTAAGCGCCTTCTCATTCCACAACATCTTTCTATCAAATTTGAAGGTTCGTTGGAAATATTGGCCTAAATTTTAAAATTCGGCAGGAACTTACGGGATGACCTGATAAAATAATGTGGGTCGCTTCGTCTATTTAATTTTCTGTCATCGATGTTGGAATGACCCACGGTGGGTCACGCTGTGAATTGAAAGCTACTCGATAACCCACTCGATGACCCACCCATGGCTCACACCATTCTAAACGTCTAAGAGCAATAAAAATTGTCGACTTCACAGAGCGTCCAATATTCAAGATTGTTTTCTATATAAATTTTGAATTTTATGGAATAGTCGTTGTGAGCCTGTCTGCCGCCTTGCACAATGCGCGTTTAACGATGTCCCAGCGGTAGCTGAGTGTGCAGGCGGCCTAAAACGCCCGCGGTGCCCTTTTTACGTTCCATTCTCGAGCTGTCCTCTCTCCGGTGGAATCTCCCCATCTCTAAGGCTCGTCACGCGACGAAAACGAGGACCCACACCAATTAACTCATCACTACAGCTAATTGCCCTCACACGGGGTACGTAGACTCTCTGCAGAGGCAGCGGGGACCTCTGTATGTACAGACTATTCCTTTCGTTCGAAAGATACGAATCAACTGACACGCTTAATTAGATAATCTCGCTCGATAGAGTTAAGTGTCGCTGAATACACACTTGCAGGCTCCTCTTGCATCCAACCGGTCATTCATTACCCTAACTATCTCCGACAAAAATTTTCCCCGAAGAATGCTAAGTTTCACTGTCAGCTGAAACTGGGCAAATGACCAGTTTAAAAATTTATTTACCACTATCTAAACACTATTTTCTGCGTTGAAAAATATGATCTTCGTTTCGTAGCCGGTCGAAAACACATAGTGTCGGTACAGTTAGTGTTAATGAAAGCTAGTTAATTATCACGCTAGCTATCGTCAAGAGAAATTGACTCTGAAGAATTCTAAAAAATTTCACGAAAGACGAACTGCAGCGGAGCATACGGAAAAACAGTATGTAAAGATTGAGGAGCGTGATTCCTCCTGGTGTCATCTATTGATTGGGTAACAGGTCATGGATGGCGCTGGGAGGATTATTGGGCGTCAAAAACTAGGCCCGATCGTCATTTGTTTCCCCCGATGGGCAGATTGACGTCGGGGGAGAGAAAGACGAGACGCGCTCGCGTTGTATAAATTGTGAGAAATAAAGTGCTTCACCCAGATTGTAACCCTTGTGTTATAGTACTCCACGTAATTTTCAAAAAATTTCACGAAAATCGTACTCTGCATAATTCAAAAAAATGTCCCGACGAAAGTGAGAAATTGGAAAGTGCAAGAAAGACAGATTAATCATTCTCCAGCCGCTATTCACGTCACCAAGAACGCTTTCCCTCGCTAAATCAGTCCACGATTGGAACACGGCTCCACCAGCCGGACAGGCCTCGCCAGATAGATCAAACCGCTCGTTCACCGCAGCGCCAACAAATCGGTATTACGTTCGTTATGTCAAACGGTGGGCACGTGGTCGTGGAGTCGCGTAGAAAGCCGCGGCGCGAGCGAGCGAGAGATACACAGTACGGTTGTGTACCTGGTGTAAAATAGCCGTGGTTGTAAGGTAGGCCTGTTGATCCCTCCCTAGGCACACGATAGTCGCGGTCAACCGTATAGTCACGGACTATTACCGTAACACCACCGGTTCTCTCCGAGTCTCCGGCGAGAGAAAGGCTCCGCGCGGAGGATAGAGTCATTATCGAGGGATAACTTTCCACCTGCGCCGCATAACTCGTCCAGGTAAACACCTGTGCCAGCCACAAATTCGTCGAAGAACGGTGTTTCACGGGACGAGTATTCGTCAGCCTTGAGCGAACCGATCCTCCCCCTACTCTTTGAACGTACGAAAATCCCGAGGCCGGTGTAAATCATCGAAACGTTCATCTCGATGGTTCTCGATCGTTCGCGAGGTACAAGAATTCCGACTGAATATATGCAATTGATTCGAAGCGACAGAGTATTCGCAAGAAAAATAGCGAAATTTCGTGGACGATAGTGGAAATTATTAGGTCAAATTTTACAATTTAGATCTATATTTTCGACGAACCTTTAAAGTTTGATAAGGAAACCCCGTCTTCTCATTTCACAATTTTATTTAGTAAGACCGTTATGTACGTATTTCCTTGGATTTTCGCTGGGATATTTTTGTTCACGAACTTATAGAACGACCCGTTTTCACTCTTTTCGAATGAAATTTTGATTGCTCCGAAAACTGAAAGAGTATACAAGAGAAGAGAAAGAGGAGGAGGAAGGTCGTTCTTCTCTCTGTAGCAGGAACAGGTGAACGCGGGTAGAAAAAAGCATCGAACGGATCGGCCGTTATCTCTCGGCGAATTTACGAGGCCAAAGACCCTTATCGTATGTGATCGTCGTTGTGCAATTTCGCTGTCACGATACGACCGGGCTAAGTTTTAAGGCTCGTAATTACACCTATAAAGTACGCGTGTCGGAGGGATTTCAGCGGGCGTTTTCGTAGCG